TGCTAATTGTACGAATTCACAAAAACTGTTTGGCCGGGAACCACACTAGTGGATCCTGAGTGGTGCCTAACACCTTCCCCTTAGGATAATTTCAAGCCCTTACCCTGTCTCTGGTTACCAAACGTAATTATAACTTATAAATGAACCCTGTAGGTGCCATAACGCACCTTAAATGGTTAGGTGACGACTCTTCAAAAATGCAAACCCCTTCCTCAAAAGGAACGAGTTGTCTCAACCAAAATGTCATAAACCCGATTTCGCGAGAAAAAGGGGGCGCGACAAACACCCTAAGCTCCTAATTCCCTAATCCCTTAGGCTTAGAGATAGCACAACAGACTTACGTTAGCTTCTTCTGCTTACCCATTTCCCTTTTCTATTTTCTAACCCTAGAATAGCAGAGAGCAACTATGACTTCACAACCTCGGCGAACGGCGACGACAACTACTCTCCTCGGCGACTACTTGCTTGCTCATTGTTGACCTTCATTCTACAATCTTCAAGTCTTCAACAGGTTCATAACTTCTTCATTCTTCATTCTTCAATCTTGTGGTTTTATGTTAGTGTTCAACTGATTCTTTTGTCCTTTTTCACCTCACGCTTTCACCGGCTGGGTGGGTGGGTAAAGATACTTGTTTTTATCGCTTTTCCTTTTGTGAAAATATGTACTAATTCACTATATATTTATTCGGAAGCTCGTCTACTGCCTAAACGAAATCCTATTTTCCAGAACATATTCAATTGATTAAGTGAACTGAAGATTCCTTCTCTTTTGTACTCAATAGACTTATTATTTTAACAGTTTGGTTACTCAATGGGGTAAAAGTTACTCTATAACGATGATATGGTAAGACTAATTGGGTTAAGTGTTCTGTTTTTTTGTTCTTCTCAATAGTACTTTCGACCAACTTTGTTACTTAGTAGTACTAGGTTTTGTTTTTAACTGGTCTTGTTCTATTTTTATCAGGTTTGCCGCTGGAGGGGCTGTAGATTGATATTCAGTAGTACTATTTTTTATTTTAGTGGGTCTTGTTCTATTTTTAGCATGTTAGAAGGTCTGTAGATTGACTGATGAATATAGTAGTTCTGTAGTTTATGCATTGCTTTAGAAACAAAGAAGTGAGAAACATCCTTATTGTTTAACTGTCCGTTAAATTTCATGCTTATTTCAGTGGAAGTTCTTCATTGTTATGTACAAATTAAGTGTTCTCTGCATCTAATGGGACTGTGGGAGTGTTAATTGTTATAACTTATAACTGCACCATTAACAGGGACGGTGAGATATCGGAACCGTACCGAACCAAACAAGAAAATACCGAACTACTTTGGTACGGAATTTCGTATGTACAATTGATATACCGAATACAGAAACACCGAACCGTAATTTATAAATATCGTACTGAACGTCCACCCTTTCTATCACTAGGCATTTTGTAAGGAATGAAAATACAAATACTGCTCATGAGGCCTTGACCTTGGCTATGGGGGTCCACAATCTGGAGATAGAGACCAGATGTTTGATACACCTAGTACCTTTGCAGAAATTTTAACATCCACATCGTTCATCTTTTAATTTACGTTCCTGCATTAAAAAAATTACTTGAAAATGACCAAGTAATAAAATTTTATTTTTCTTTCTTTCTTTTTTGTCATTCTTGAAATTCATTGATTTATCCATACAATCACGATATCTTATTTCTTTTTTCTGTTTCAAACTAGTTCTTTTCCCCTCTAAATATATCAAATATAATACGATACACATGAAAAACAATTGAAATAATGATAACAATTACCATGACTATCACCGTCCGCCAAGAACGAACATAAACAATAACATATTCTGCATGATTTCAGGTTTCTGATCCGGCAGCTGGATGATCCCGTCATACTCTATACGTACGGGAAAAAAAACAAGGTCGCAGATCTACTAGCAAAATCTCGTAGATCTTTTTTAATTAGCTAGAATGACTAGTACTAGCTTCACCCTTAGATTCCCTTTTTGTCAGGACCCATCATGAAGTCGCCCCTTAGGGTAACGCCTATGCAATCTTTAGCTCCTTGTATGACACAACTTTTAACGTAATATAAATAGTTTTGTGCTTTGGACCAAAAAAACATATTGCTAAAGATGAACAATGTTTTTCTTCAAAATTTTCTTCTTTCTCTTCTTGCGTCAATCTCAGATTCCAACTCTCTCCCCTTTCGAATACCGAATTGATAATTTGAGTCAAACTGAAAAACCTAGCGATGGTTTGATTTGATTTAGTTTGGGATTAAAGAAAAAATTCAAACATAATTGGTTGGTTTGGTAATAGCTAATTAAAAAAGTCAAACCGAAATCAAACCAACCCGGCATTATATGTATTACGATTTTTAAAAATTGTGTTATACCTAAAAATATTCATTTTAATGTAATTTTTAAATATTATTAAAAATTTTTTATATTTTTTTGTCCTTTAACATAATATTTTTGGACTTAAAAATTTTGAATGGTTGAATAAGTTTTATAGAACATAAGTGCCCAGTAGGTTTTAACTCAAATAAAGCCTAAACTAAAGCCAAATCAAAATCAATGCTAACTAAAAAAGTTCAATTAGCTTCATCTATGACTTATTAACCTTATTTGTTTTAATTATCTTTGTTATTGGTGACACTATATTTTAGTACACTGTAATAACGCATCTCAAATTTTGAGGCTCTTTGTGTTTTGCGCCCTTCATGTATGTACTATTTTCTAATCTACACCCTGTCATATTATTTTTAATGATTTATCCCCTAACATAATCATTTATTTGCAAAACTATAAACAGTTTATTTTGTGAAGTATTTTTTTATTTTTTTTTTGTTAGAATAGACGAGTCCAACAAAAAGCTTACTGTTTACCTTATCTCCCCATATGACGTCACCTTCAAGAACATCAATTATGCTCCTAGGGTGAAATACTTTGTGCTAAGAGTCAACCTTGTGGCAAGTATTCTAGTCTTTTTAAGCTACTAGGTTCTAAAGTAATAGTTTGTACACATTAAATAAATTTTTTAAGTAAATACATAATTTAGATCAAAGTTACTGAGTCCAATCGAATCCGTAATTTGGTCCCTGATTCGTAACATGCTCCCCAGATCAATTGCATATGTGTCGAGCCACATTTGTGCAGGTTTGACAATTGACTTGAACCCGGTGAAATCGAATGGCGTGCCAAAAGTCGGGAGTTTAATGGAATGCAGAGAGATGAGCCTAATGGTGCCTCAATCAAAATAGAGAGAAGAAAAATGCAACTATCTACTAATAAAGATCACGGTAAGCATCGTGATAATTATTGAGAAATGTATACTTTCCAAAAAGGCCAAATATATCCTTCTATCTTCAAATATTGTTTATATTTTCGATGCACATATATATACCCCTACCGTTAGTGAAGTATTCAAATTTACCCCTACTTTTAACGGTGCTCCAACGTGGCAGTGGACCCCAACTATTAAATTGCCACGGTGGACGCCGTGTGTGTATTAACATTTTCTTATTTTTCGAAGAAATAGAAAAACACTCATTTATAAGTCTTCTGCTTCATTCCATACCTCCACCATTAGACTCATCACTCTTTTACGGCCGCCGGCCACCATCCTCAGATCACCCAACTAATATTTCTCTATCTATCTATCCCTCCCTCCCTCCCTCTTTATCGCATACGATGCCTGCTCAAAGTTATGATTTGGGGTTTTCTTCTAGAGTGGGATTTGAAAGTGAGTTTTATGGTAGCTAACAATGGAGGCTCAAAAAGACCAGAATATGCGACACTATTAGGCAACCTAATAAAGGTTACAATTTTAAACGAAAACGTTTCGGCTAAGAATTAGGGTGGGTTCGAACAGTTTATTGGAAAATATTCTTAAAAGAGTATTCTAAAAAATAATTTGTGTTTTTAATGATATATTGTTAGAACTTTTTAGAAATAAATTTGTTTAAAATGGATGCTCTTCAAACACAGAAAAGTATAATTGGCGAATGGCAATAGAGTTATTCATTCAACAATTCAAACCTCCACAGTTTTTATTTTAACTACATTATGTCAATAAAAAGTTATTGCCAAACAAAATGAAATAAATTAATATTAGCCATGCGTTTGTAACATAAAATAATATGAAAAGTAACAATAAAAGAGAAATACTATTATATTGTGGGAGTGACAGGCTGCTCAAGGTCTTCGTTGTTCATTTCGGATTTTTCTTTTCTCTTAAAAAATAACATGCGCAGATCTTCTATTTCTACCCATGGGACTTTCATCCCAGTGAATAAATGAGTTTGTACTTCCCGTTTCTATTCAATGTTTTTTTTTTCTTAGTTAGGAGTCTACTTTGCTCTCCACATATTACAAATACACAGTAATGGAGCTATGAAAAATGAAGCAGAAGACTTATAAATGAGGTATTTTTTTTTTCGAAAATAAGAAAATGTTAATACACACGTAGCGTCTAACGTGGCAATTTAATAGTTGGGGTTCACTGACACATTGGAGCACCGTTAAAAGTAGGGGTAAATGTGAATACTATACTAACGGTAGGGGTACATATGCCTCGAAAGTATAACGGAGGTTAAATGTAAACAATATTTAAAAGTAGAGGGATATATTTGGCCCCTTTTCCTTTCAAAAATAAATAGCCGACAAAATATATATTTTTTGTATATATGAGTAGGGTTAGGTGGACTCTAAATGGCGGTTGTGGTCCATTAAACTGGCGAGAAATTTATTTTTAGTGCTCCAACAAAATAATAGCCAACAGTTTTTTGCATATTACTAGAGAAGAAAAGCCCGTGCTAAGCACGGGCCCAATATAGGCTAATTATTCCATAAATACTTTAAGGTACTACTTTAATAATCCAATTTAAAGTATTAACTTTTCTTTCTGTTCATAATGTGCAACAAAGACATCCTTCAAATTGAAATCAAAACAGGAAACAAAAGAACCTTCCAGTATAATATGTGGAGAATATGCATCTTCTGCACATATGCAATTAGGTCATAAGAATTAGTTCCAATCGAATTGTGTCCTACAAAAGAATTGTCAAATATTATCAAACATACACCACAGAACATGCACACGAGTTGGACCTTGAATTACAACATTGTGGCCATGGCCGGTTGTTTAGTACCAAAAAAGTTTAACATGGAAGACTGTCTATATCTTCAAGCACATCAAAGACTGTCTGTTATTGCCCATAACTATAAATTATAGCCTCCAGCTTAGCAATTAACATGTTATCCTTCGAACGTGTAAAATAAGTACCTCCAGAAAGCATACATCTATCAAATTTATAGTTAAAATGTATGGAATCACAAACAGTGACATCAAGTCCTTACAGTCACATCCGCATCAATGGCTTAGAAGCCATTTGCCACACCATTTAGGTATTTAGCTTTTTTTCTTCTTCACCAGATGCATTTTTGTATTGTTCTTTAGATTTGTAAGTGCTCATTGATAGTTCTGCTGCATCTTCAAGTAATACAGGTGAAATTGGAGTTCTGAGTTCCTTGTTGGTTGCAAAGACATTGAAACATATATTATATCCTGAAAAGTAGGTAGATTCATTTCATCATAAATGTTACATTAGCAGCATTTTAAGCAGAGAGATGCACATATATATTGAGGATTTAGATCAATATATATCACCATATAGATCGTGAAATGCACAAAAGACTGTGTGAATGGATGAAGACTAATATAGTGAAAACTTAAGCCCTCTCCAATATATTTTTTTCACTCAAAAGCGTCATGATTTAGGATTCGAAGTAGAGCATTACAAATATCCTTTATTTTGAGTAATCAAGTTCACCAATACCTTATCCCAAAAAAAAAAAAGCAGTTTCAACAATACTCTCTTTTATATACCTGAATAAACTGCTTGACATAAGTCTCAGGCCTCGCACTATATTCCTTTCTCTAATTAGTTTGGCATATCATAACAACTCCGGGACGGTTTTAAACCACTACACAATGTCATAATCATAATTGAAAAAGTTATAGAAAAACAAAATATCAGAAGTGGAACTAATGTCGGACCACCTTTTTCAAGCATTAACATCACTTGTCTTAACTCCTCATCAGAAAAGAGATTCACTCAATAGCACATATGAAATACGGAAAAATTAAATATCAGTCTGGTTGATTCATGAGTAGAAACTTTCCTTCAAGTCATTAGCAATGCAGCATAGCAGCAAATCAAAGCATATAACAAGTTGTCTCCTTTTCCTCTAGGACACTTGTTTTCATGCCTATCCTTTTATCCCCAAGAGTTATGATCTCCATGCTGCAAGACACTAAAACAAATATGGTTATAACTATTGAAAAATATGTACTCATGTTTATTTTATATGAAAACTAATTAATGTAAGAGAAGATTATCGCTTTGCTTAAATTCTATCAGAAAATGTCAATTATAGATGCAAAAGCTTGGCATCCAATTTCTTTACGCTATTCTATATGAGAACTCGTGAATTTAAGGGGTGATTGTTCATTAAATTCTATCAGAGAACATCAACTGTTGATGCAAAAGAATTCAGCATATTGTATACGACGTCTTAGTTCCTCAGTGACCTTTGTTTTATTACTTTTTTTCACAAAATAATACAAATATTTTTCACAGAAACTATATTGAACATGAAAATGTGCATATAACATATTTAGTGGCGGAAATGTAATAAGTAATTTTCGGCGAGAAAGCAGTAAAGACCAAACAATCACAATACCTAGCATTTTTTTTTTTATCGAAACACAAGACATAATTTCTTTTCAAGGTGTGATTATAATAATGTAATATCAGTAGAGATGAATTTCAACAGTGAAATTTTATTCTTCTCGAAGTTTATCAACTACATATCTTCTATGGTGTCCAATTTCAAATGCGGGGACCTAAAAAGTTTCATTTACCAGTAAAATCATTAATGTTTTATCAGGCATTTCATCAAACATCTTAGAGTCATCTACATCATTTCAAGTAATTATGAATGAAAAAGATTAGATAGCTGGAATTTTTAAGCAAAAATAACTTAAAATTAGACATTATGAAAGAAAGTATCACTAACTATAACATTTACACATATAGAACACCATGAAAGTATGTCTACCGGTACTGAAGTGTGCTTACTCATATTGTCAAGACTTAATCTTCTAGCGACAAATTTGATGCTTGAAAGCACTGAAGGGGAAAGAGAATCGTAGTTTCTGAAATGAATAAATATTAAAAGATATTGAGGTTCCGATTAGATAAAATTATTGACATATGTAAATCTAGCAAAATCTACCAGCAAATAAGTGCAATAAAAAAGATTAATTAGACAAAAAACTTGCCAGAACTTCGAACCGAAACGATAAAAAATTAGCCGAAAGGGAGAATCTTTGAAGAAATACCCAAAATAGAAAAGCTTTGAGAGAAATTTAGGGAAGACCACAAAGATGCAGAAGAAATTCGAAGAAAATTGAAAATAGTTAAGAATGTTCAGGAGAGATGAGAAAGTAGCATAACTGCCTAAAAAGAGTGGGTGAATCTTTCTGAGTGGAATACACGTGTGATTGAAAATGTGAGTCTTTCTGACTCAATGGAGTACAATCCACAATAGCATTTTGTACCACTTTTATGTGCATTGTTCGTCCATCTCAGTCACTTCTATATAGTAGAAAAAAATAAAAATTTTAATTAAGATTAACTAATTTAAAATTACTACTTTGTCCTTGGTCGACCATCAAGGCTTTTCTATATATGTATATATATGCAAAACATTACGTATTTTATACTCGTTTTGGCTAATGGATGCAATTAATTTCAGCCGAACTATATGTCAAATAAAATTTTGCAAACACTCACACACCAATTGTTGAGATGGCCGAGTTGGTCTAAGGCGCCAGATTAAGGTTCTGGTCCGAAAGGGCGTGGGTTCAAATCCACTCTCATCATTCTGGATTTTTCGTGTTTTTGATGGAAAAAAGAAAAAGATTTCCTTTCCCATCTTTAACTTTTGGAATAAGTATTTTTTATCAATCAATATAGTAATTTAGAAATTTTCTATCTGAATAATTTACCAATCAATCTTATACATTATCTCCTGCCACTGTCCACTTCAATTTTTCTTACTTATCAAAGAGTCCGAAACTGAAATGATGGACTTTTGGACAAAATATATGTTTATACAGTGTAAAAAAAAACTTACATTTCTACATAAAATGTAGTATAATACTGCGTTTAACTTTAACGGAAAGTTAGTCGTTAAAGCTAAACGCAGTGTTGTACTGCGTTTTATTAAAAAATTAATTTTTTTTTACAGGAAAACGCATTATAATACTACGTGGAAAC